ATTTTACATTTTTAAACTATAAACAATTGCTTCCAGGAAACTGTCAAATGCAGGTTCAAGAGTTCACACTTTAGATAAACGGCAACACACTGTAGTGTCGTCACAATACCAAAATTTTTACTTCAATACGATACCTGACTAAAATATCTCGATACTACTACTGAACCGATACTATAACAAAAACATAAAACAACAGGAAAAGTAATTAAATTATAGATGACCCTCATGGAAATTATAGTTCATTATTTTATCTATTAATTAAAAAAAGCTCTCACTTGACCAGTGTGTTTATATCATGATACAGTCATTTTTGTTATTTTTATCTTTGTGTTATTAATAATAACAGTAGGGCTGCCCTCAACTAAATATTTTTCTGGTCGACTAGTAGTCGTTCATTTTAAGCATTAGTCAACTATTAGTCGCACGTTTATTATTAAACCATATAAATCATAATAATGAGCCTTTAAAGGGGTCATATGATGCTATTTCAAGATGTCAACATATTCTGTTACACCAAATACACAAAATAATGATCTTTAAAATAGCATCATATGACCCCTTTAATTACCTATAGCCTAATAAGCGCTCAAGCGCACGCAAAAAAAATGTGCAATGTTTTGTTGTTATTGTGAGTGCACACAACTAAACGTAGAGTGTTTACAGATTCGAAAGATGTATTACTCTTATCTGTATGAGCAAAAATTACGGAGTATTTTAAGAGCAAGTGAGCGCACCGGCGTCTCCATCTGTCATGCAGTGAGCGCTACTGTTCAGCTTCCACACTCCACACAGACACTTGAATAGCACACATTTCTCTAGGTTAACATTAGATTGAGCGGCCATGTAAAGTTGCTACTACATACATCTTTCAGATGAAAAGCCATATTGGAGGTCAATGAATGATAGGTGAGCGTTTGGATGTCCTGCCTGATGTACTATATTTCCATTGACCAGCCATTAACGATCTGTCCTTCACGGATTGCGTGACTACGCCACTTCCTGTGGATTTTTTTTCTGCGACTAAGCGACTAATAATAATACAATTTTGGTCGACAAAGCCTCTTCTCGTCAACTAACGGTTAGTCGACTATTAGAGGGCAGCCCTAATTAACAGAGATGCAAGAAACAAACAAAAGGATAAATACAATAAAACAACATAAAAATAGATAAATTAAATAAACAGTGTTTTAGGTACAGCAGGACTATTTAACAGCTGTATTCAAGTAAGAGATAAAACAGGCATTGAATAAAGTAATCAAAATGAAAAAGTAAAGCACTGCATAGTCTTAATTGTATGAATTAAACATTCATACACTGATACTTTTTAAAGCTATTACATTTAGTCAGTCAAGATCAGTGCATGATTTTCTCTTTTTCTTTTGTTTTTTGATTAAGATTATTGATACAGACAGCAGCCGGAATATTAGCCTGCTGTCACTTTAAGAACTGGACGGATGCAATTTATTGATACACATGCGTTTTTTTCCCCAACTGTTTACATTCAGTTCACTCATAAGACGAGCATAATTGTTTGTATACTTGTCCGTTAAAGCGCAATAAATGGTGAAAGATCTGAATTTGCGATCACTTATGCTGTCTGAGAGAGGCGGCTTTCAGTGCACGAGCATTGGGTGTGTGATAGCGAATGAGTACCATTTTTAAAGACAGGGTATCGCAATACCTTTTTAGTACTGGTATATCATACAACATTAGCATGACATAATGTCACGTATAGTGATGTGTAAGCACAGAGGATTGTCACTTCTCACAAAAGTTTCACAATGTACTTAAATCTTGTCCATTAAGTGTGATTTTTGAAACGTCAACTTTGAGGGTTCCTTAGTTAGCATTATGTGGACTCAAAGAGACAGTTGATGTTTCAAAAAATCTGTTTGTGTTCCACAAAAAAAGAAAGTCATATAGATCTGGAACAGCATCAGGATGAGTTAATGCTTCATTTTTGGTTGGACTATCCCTATATTATTTCTTTCCACATGGATATTAGTTAGCTAAAGAGAAAATGAGCTCTCTGAATGTCACAAATGATGAAATACATAACCCTGGTGATGGCGGCCTGAAAACCACAAACGCCATGGCAACCTCTATGGATAGTGACTGAAAAATGTGGAAGGCTGAAAAAGCATTACTAATGATTACATCAGTGCATGAGTCATGACACTGCTTTACTCAGGTGTCAGTGGCGCCCAATGCGGAGCCATCTGTCCTGTCCTCCTGGACTCGCAGCACCCAGTCCCTGTGCTCCAGTGCTATGCCACACTGCACCATACACCACAGCATCGTGATTTCAGACACCAAAGGCCCCCTATAATATTGCCTGCATCCTCAGAACAGTCCATCATACTGAAATCCAATCAACTGCAACCATCAAAGCATGCATTATTAGGTACTGTACTGCTATCATTCATTCATGAATAGTCAGTTATGATATGACAGAGTTTCATATCTGAAATAGTTTAAAGCAGTAGCCACTAGCACCACCAAACATAATTACAACAATAAATACAGCAATGTCTGGATGTTTACACTTTTTAGAGATATTAAAGGGACAGTTCAATCAAAAATTAATACACTGTCATCATTTACTCACCCTCATGTTTCAAACCTGTATCCCTTTTTTTCAATTGCAGAACACAAAAGAAGATATTTTGAATAATGTTTGGGTCCAATCTACATTGGATCCCACTGACTTTTATTGTATGGGCACATTTCTCGAAATATTTTAAAATACAAAGTCATACAGGTTTGGAACAACATGAGAGTGAATAAATGATGACAGAATGTTAAATTTTTGAGCGAATTAACCCTTTAACCTACAACTGTCTACCTTTTAGTTTTCTCTGTATTTTTTAAATCCAAAAAAGAGACACTACTGCTTAAAAGAAAATATCCAACTCACCAGACAGTTTTTAATATATTGCTGTCTTGTGAGAAGTAGCATTAGTGCCAAGCCATGCAAGGACCCACATGGCACAGTCAGTCCACCCCCCATCACAAGACTCAGGGTTCATAGTATAGGCCATTGTCCATTCACAGTCAGCACTCCTTCACGTTACCCAGCCTCTTCAAACCACCACACTGTATCATCAGATGGGCTGACACAAACCTGACCAGAACAAAAAGCTGCGTCTTCGCAGTGTTTCTGTATTTGAATTGACACAAATGGTAACTCTTTAGTGTAGGGACCAATTCTCACTATAAACTAGTTGCTTATTAGCATGCCTGTTATTAACATATTGGCTGTTCATTAGTACTTATAAAGCACATATTCTTCATGACCATATTCTACATCCCTAATCCTACCAAATACCTAAACTTAACAAGTGCCTTACTAACTATGAATAAGCAGCAAATTAGGAGTTTATTGAGGCAAAAGTGGTAGCCAATGGTTTGTTAATAGCAAGAATTGGCTCCAAAGAGAAAGGAAAACTTGAAATCGCATCATATGACCCCTTTAAAATGAAGTATGACCACACAAACTTAATTATTTTAGAGCATATTATTTATCATAAATAGGTAAATAAGTCACAGGAATAAATTACATTTTAAAATATATCAAAATAGAAAACATATATCTAACAATATTTTATAATACTACAGGTTTTACTGTATTTTTGATCAAATAAAAAGTGAGCATAAGAGACTTCTTTCAAAAACATTCATGTACATGAAGTATAAGGAACTGAGGTCTGCTAATCATTACATATGCATTATATATCCTATAGAGCTAGAATGCTAGATGTATTATTTGCACAATCCAACAACAATTTTTCAAGGCTTCTACAACAATAACTCTTATGAGGTCCGTGTCATTGGCTGATGAACACAGAGACAGCGGGACACTAAGCCGAGTTACATAACAGCCCCGAAGTGGCGCATTCCTCCATGCCACCTTGCGTAAAAGCTTATATGTGCCTCCTGCCACTCTTCACACCCATTTCAACCAGGTCAGGTGGCCCGTTTCAGGTCGCATCACTATTTCTGGCCATTCTAAATGTGGCCTGACTACTTGGCACATTTCAGCGAGATAAAACAGCAGTCATCCAACACACCTGGGATTTGGCTGATTATAATAGAATATTGGACATTTTTCAGAAATGAAAGCAGACTTACTATTTATAGTGAGGGGTTCTAAAAACAGGACAGAAATTAATCATTAGCTAAACAAGGGGAGGACGACAGGCTCACGGAGACTCACCTGGCCCCTGTGTGGCCAGACTGTGCCAGCGAAAGAACAGAAATTCAGCCCGATCTGCAAATAACCTCATTGGCATTCACTCCTGCATCTTTGAATTTTGTTTTCCTCTCATTTTATTCGGGATCTTTTCAGCAACTTCTACGTCAGTAACTTCTTACAGTAATAGAAAGTGACCATCTATCCATCCGGCAAAAACCACTTAAAAAAAAAAAAACACTTATTTATTTGTTATATAATCTGCCCCACAAGTTGGTATATAAAAAGAAGTAGAAAAGATTATGTAACTACTCTGTGAAAGGAAGATTTTTTTTGTCAAAAAAAAAAACAAAAACATATTGAATCGACATTTAACTGCTCTGATAATAAGTGCTTGATTATAGCAACAACATGGGATATAACATTTGAACAGAAGAGGGTTGCTAAGCAACTGTGTGTGAGAAGGAGAATTCTGTGCAATAATACACAGAGTCACAGGCATGACACTCTTTCAGACGCAGTAAATCACATCAGCAAAGTTGGAACATGTTGTTGTTCCCCTGACAATTATAATTAATTCTAATGCTACATGAGAAAACAACGTTTAATTAATCACAAATTACTTTAAAGAGCAGTTTAGCCTCAGGTTTTGGTAAAAGTACACTCTCATAATGGGGAGTAAGAGATTTAGTCTGATGAATGAGTGTGGATAGAAGGAGAAGGTTTAATATAACGGCTCTTTCAGGAGTTCTGATGTTGAGTCTCTCTGAGCTGTAAGCATTTGTGTGAAAGTGTAGTATGTTCTCACCACTCCAATGGAGAAGTAGTTGTTCACTATGCTGTAGGGCACAGGGTCGCCCTTCTCTTCCTTATCGTCAGGGACAATGTCGATGTTCCAGCGGTCAAGCAGCACTTCGGTGCTGTGCTCGATATCCCTGAGGAACTTGACCAGACTGCCTCCTTCATAGCCTGTCAATCACAACACAGACACTGCATGAACCTACATAACATATAAAGACGTGAACTGATGTGTGGATGTTGTTACTGTTGCAGCCTCACACATGAAGAAAAGCACAAAAGAAGAAGAAATCAAGCACAATTCAACTTTTGTTCTACTTGTGACAATGAAAGACTCGCATTATCTCAAATCCAAGGTTAACATGGCTTAATTAAAACTTCAACACAGCAAGATCGAATGATTAAACTTGCCTAAGAAACACAATGCTGTGACAGTATAAAGCAGCCTTTTCTTTGACAAACGACAAGTTTATTCATTTCCAATGGAGAGTACTACAGAAGATCTGACTACATATGCATACCAAATTTTCGGAGATTTGAGCTTCAGGTGTGCTAAAACAAGACCGTATGCAACCGCCAAACTGGATGTGATGTATTCTAATCAAAACTATAAGATTGAGATGAGAATGACCAATGTTTTTCATAAAACATTATTCTTTAAATACTGTTTCTGTAAAATGGGCAGAAAATGTAATAATAATATAATAATTTAGCCCTAGAAATCCTTCTATGCTTTTCTTTTAAGCATATTGGTTGTCATTTGTTTTGTGTGGATAGATTTGTAACTTCATTATTCATTCATTTTATATTGCTGAATAAGAGGAGGGCTGTTTGAGGCTGTTTGAGGACCACAACATTCAAATTTTGTTTTGTATGTTTACACTTCCGTTCAAAAGTTTGGGATCAGTAAGATTTTTAATGCTTTTTAAAGAAGTTTCGTATGCTCATCAAGGCTGTATCTATTTGATCAAAAATACAGAAAACACTGCAATTTTGTGAAATATTACTGCAATTTAAAACAACCGTTTTCTATTTTAATATACTTAAAAATATACTTTACTCCAGTCTTCAGTGTCACATGATCCTTCGGTAATCATTCTAACATGCTGATTTATAATCAATGTTGGAAACTGTTGTGCTGCTTAATATTTTTTTGGGACATGTGATACTTTTTTCAGGATTCTTTGATAAATAAAAAGATAAAAAGAACAGTGTTTATTCAAAATATAAATTTTGTGTTACAATATACACTACTATTCAAACGTTTGGGGTCAGTTAAATTTTAATTTTAAATTTTTTAAAAATTAATACTTTTATTCAGTACTGATATGTTAAATGGATAAGAAGTGATAGTAAAGACTTATATTGTTAGAAAATATTTCTATTTTGAATAAACGCTGTTCTTTTTAATTTTTTTCATTAATCAAAGAAAAAAGTATCATAGGTTCCAAAAAAATATTAAGCAGCAAATCAGTTTCAACACTGATAATAAATCAGCATATTAGAATGATTTCTGAAGGATCATGTGACACTGAAAACGTTACAATATACACTACTATTCAAACGTTTGGGGTCAGTTAAATTTTAATTTTAAATTTTTTAAAAATTAATACTTTTATTCAGTACTGATATGTTAAATGGATAAGAAGTGATAGTAAAGACTTATATTGTTAGAAAATATTTCTATTTTGAATAAATGCTGTTCTTTTTAATTTTTTTCATTAATCAAAGAAAAAAGTATCATAGGTTCCAAAAAAATATTAAGCAGCAAATCAGTCTCAACACTGATAATAAATCAGCATATTAGAATGATTTCTGAAGGATCATGTGACACTGAAAACTGGATCACAGAAATAAATTATATTTTAAAGTATATTAACATAGGAAACCAATATTAGAAATTGCAATAATATATCACAATATTACTGTTTTTTCTGTATTTTTGATCAAATAAATACAGCCTTGAGCATAAGAGACTCCATTAAAAATCTTACTAATCCCAAACTTTTGAATGAAAGTGTACATTAAAAAAAGACTAATTCAAATTGTCTACTGCATTACATCAAGGGGATGAACACCATGACCTGAGAGGATTTTGTCAATGCCTGGCAACCCTTCCAAATGACATGAAGGGATCCTTAGAAAGGTTCCCTGAGGTGATCGAACTGCAATTACTTCCTAATTGTAATGGGCAGGATACATAGTCTACTTGTTATGTTGCCATCATAAGAAGCGGCATCTCTTAACGATGGCCGACATGCTGTGAGTCAGGGGGGTCCTGGCTCCCGCCTGGCAATCCAAGGAGTAAAATATCACATGTGTGATGACACCTAGGTGCTCACTCTGCCTTTCTGAACCAGACATGCAGACGCTTCCAGGCGAACGTTACATGAACGGACGCTCACATGGCACCTCTGCACTGACTACAGGTGCTACACGTGTTTCAAAGTCAATCAACTCGCATGGAGAAAAAAAAAACAGCCTACCATCCAAATGAAATTAAGAAGGCATTTATGCAAAACCTTACCCTTTTGCACAAACCACACACATGCTCACACAGGAAACACTAATACGAGGCCAATTAATTCAGCAGCCTGTACAAGGCCATCCACACCTGCCTTAAAAGCAGATGCAGGCTCACTGATGCATATCATTCCATCATAACTACTGAATAAACCCACATATCTAATCAAGAACAAGCATATGTAATCACACAGGTTGGCAAATGATTGGCAAGTCTATATATACTCAAAGAATAGTTTATTTATCTCTTGTTAAAAATGCCTCTAACACCTCTTAACAGTGTTGTTATTAACTAAAACTACTGAAAATTATTTTTTGGTAATATAGCTAAAATAAAATGAAATATACATAATTATGTAAATACAGTTGGAAAGGCTCAGCTTATTTTAAATTAGAAAAGTTGCCTTGGTATCTAACTAAGATAAATAAGTTTAATGGGATAGTTCACTCAAAAATGAAAACTGTGTCGCCATTTACTCAACCTCAAGTTGTTCCTTACCTGTATGAGTTTCTTTACTCTGCTGAACACTAAAAAAGAATGCTGGTTGCTGGTATAGAAGTCAATGGCTACCAGCAACTGTTTGGTCAAACTGGCCCAGTACATTAATCAAGAGTTCTCCTTTTGTGCTGAAGACAAATGATGAGAGAATTTTCCTTTTTTGGGTGGACTATCCCTTCAGGTTTTTACCGAAATTGGTTTAACTGGGCAAGTGCTTGTCACGGTCATCTGTATGATGAAGATTACAGTATCAAATTCCTGAATTCAAGTGTGGTCTCAACAAATCCTGCTCTTTCATTCATGTGACTGGAGCATTCAGCTAACTACGATAAAGTTTGATCATTACAGTCTGACCTTCTGTTGGGGGGTGTGCGTGGAAATGTTTAAAAGAAAGCAGTCTCAAAATCATTTTGAAGGGTTTATACGGGATTGTGTTCAGATTCAAAGAATTCAAAGCCTAATCTCGAGTGGTTCCGTGAAGGAAAGCCCTTTAAGTTTCATTTAAAAGGCCTTTAGTAATTTCCTCCAACTGCTGGTGGACAGTCTCTTATTTATTCCTCACCTCCACCCCAGCGCAGACAGCGAGCGAGGTCATTCCCGGTACCCAGTGGCAGGATCGCAACAGGCGGATGCCGAGCAAAATTGGCCTTATCTGTTGAGAAACAAAGAGAGCTGTTAAAGCTGCTGTGTGTCATTTTCATGTTAAAACACTCTCTATTATTCCAGTTTAATGTGCAGAGTTCCTTGAAAAGTGTAAACAATGGGGCTCTGTGATGTTCAAAACATTGCACAGTGGCCTGATATAGCAACACTGGCTCAACATTTCACTGTATATTTGGGGTGGGACTATTTGTTTGGCTTAATAATGGAACATGGGGGAGTGTTAGAAAACAAAAAGGGGGGTCATTCTCCTTTTAATTTTTATTTTTTTAAATTATTTCATTTTTTGTGGAAAAAAATGTAAATATGCATTATACCTTTATACCTCAAAAAGATACATTTGTTTCAAAATATTTTCAACCCACATTAAAATATATTACTGTAAGTAAAAATAAATTTAAAGCACATATTTAACTTGGACATAAATTATGATTATATTTAATGGATTTGCATGTATGTACAATAATGTTCAAAAGTTTGAAGTTTTGAAAGAAATCTCTTATGCTCATCAAGGCTACTTTTATTTAATTAAAAATACAGTAATATTGTGAAATATTATTACAATTTAAAATATAATTTCTATTTTAACATATTATAAAACATAATTTATTCCTGTGATGGCAAGGCTAAATTTTCAGCAGCCATTACTCCAGTCTTCAAGTGTCACATGATCATATCAAAATGATGATTTGGTGCCATCAATGTTGACTACAGTTATACTGCTTTCAGGATTCTTCAATGAATAGAAAATTCAAAAGAACAGCATTTATTGGAAACAGATATCTTTTGTAAAACTACTTTTGATCAATTTAATGCATCCTTGCTGATTATAAGTAGTAATTTCTTAAAAACTTTTTTCAAACGGTAAAGTAAGGGTCCGTTCACATATCGCGTCTTTTGCGCAGTGTTGCCAACTTAGCGACTGTGTCGCTAGATTTAGCGACTTTTCAGACCCCCCTAGCGACTTTTTTCCAAAAAAGCGACTTAGCGACAAATCTAGCGACTTCTTGGACAAACCTTAGCGATGACTCAGTGTTACTGCCGCATGAGCGCGAGATCTTGCTTTCCCAGTGCGCACACACCTCTTTCTCTGCGTCTGTTGTGTTCAGAGAGAGGCTGAGATGAGCGGCGCTTTCAGTTAAAACAGATATTATGTTGCTTCTCTAATTTTACATGCAAATATAGCCGAAATCACAGCACAGGAATTGTCTTTGTCTTGTTTTATCTTATGTGTATTTGATTTCATCAGACGACGTAAAATAGATATTATGTTGCTTCTCTAATTTTACATGCAAATATAGCCGAAATCACAGCACAGGAATTGTCTTTGTCTTGTTTTATCTTATGTGTATTTGATTTCATCAGACGACGGCTCAATTATAAATCAGGATTTTTGTGCAGATAAACATCTTGGAAGGGATAGCTGGTTAATATGTAGTCTTAAAGGGCCACGTTTCAGTCACTATTTCATATTTATCCTGTTGTATGACAACAGAAACAGTAAAATATATAAATGAAAACAGTTTTATTGAGAATTTGACTAAATTAAAATACAGTATGTGAGCACAGAGAGACAAACAAATGTAAAAGGAAATAGGACGCGATGACGTCATGAATATGATAATTAGCGTATGACGTCATCTAGCGACATTTAGCGACTTTTCAAACTGGCTTTAACTACTTTCCATTGAAAGAAGTTGGCAACACTGCTTTTGCGCACTCAAGTTCGTTATTTCAAACTCAGGCACGCTCATAATGGAAGCGACGCGGTGCTCATTTTTTCCAGGCGCGTCCGCGCCGCATCGAGATAAAAACATTTCAACTTTCAGAATGCCACAAGCGCACCGTGGGTCATGTGACAAGAACCAACCAATCAGCTTCATCCTTTCCCGTAACAACATTGAAAGCTCAGCCAAGATGAAGGAACAGCTGATCATAGCTGTACAGGGATAGCCATTTTAAAATAAATTTAGTAGCAGAGCTACTGCAAGCGATTTTTAGTGCTGCAAATCCATTTATCATGGTTGCTTAGCAACGGCAGATGCCTCCGGAGCGCAAGCGCCCGAACGCTTTGGAAAAAAGCAGAAAGCGGCACGCCTAGCATTTTCCACGCGTTTTTAGGCGCGACATGTGAATGGCCCCTAAATGCACTAATATGGAATATATATTACACTCTTGAAGTGTGTAATATATGGTTGAAGACCCTGGGGTCGGTTGCATAAAACGCTTCGACTAGTCTTAAAAAGTTAGTCGTCTAATTTTTTTTCTTCAAGACTGGTCATAACTTTTTGAAGTCAGTTATAAAAAAGGAGAATGGTCTAATTTTAATCCAAAAATTAAGTCTGCTTACCTCTTGGCTAACTAATAGTTGGTCAAACAAGTTCTTAAGACACAGTCTTAACATAGTGGCTATGTTTATGCAACTGGACCCTGATCTTACTTCTCCTTTAAAAGGCACTGAAGTTAGGTATACAGCATTGGCTAGTGCTTCATACATCAATGTGTATCATTCCTCACAATAATTCACAATACATTTTGTTTGTTTCTCTTGTTCTGAGACACACAGCAGTGTGTGCTATCTGCCGAAGAGAGGCAACATGATGAACTGTATCTTTCTATCCTCACGCTGATGGTCCCTGTGTGGCTTATTGCTATGTGCACAGGGACTGCGGGGACGTTGTTTTCAGTGCTGGTCCGTATGGCGTGATGTACTGTCTAACCGCAGGGGCTCTCTGAGTAATCGTCAGCAGCAGACATTTTCTAATACCAGTCAAACTCGTGTGGGTGAACAACAAGCAAGGACTGATCGCAGAGTGGCTCTCATTCAAAAGCTGCTCCTAAATCATCACTTTAGGGCTGTTAGGAGGACAAACTCCCACATGCGTCCCTGTCCTCCTCAATTTGCCAGGCTAAAGAGTCTCTAAAGGGATAAAGAGCACATCGCTTCTGATCTAAGTTCAGGTTTCAGTACTGTCAGCCAATTGCAATTTCGAGCCAAAGGTTTGGAGACCAAGTTGATTCTAAATCAGCACTTAGCGGCGATATCTACCACCGCCCACACAGGTTCCTCTCCAGCGCTTGTCCATTAACATCAATACGGCTGTCAGGAGGGGGAAAGATAGGCCATTATATCTGCATTCACTCATATGAAAGAGGTCACAGATGAGTCAATGCGTTTCCTAGAAACAATGATTTGTGAACAATCTTTCTGACGGTTAAACATCACGATTATATGTGCCTTAAATAAGAGTCAAGTACCACATGGAAGGATGTACTAATGTTCGAATCTTTGTCGATGAATTGGTTGACATGCTTTATTGATCTCCTAGGGGAAATGCAGATGCAAAATAGCAGGAAATATAAAGTGCAATCCAACTAGACGGTCAGTATAAGATCTGTATCTCAAATGAAGGTGTTTTCTTTGCTCATATCATTAAAAACTAATCTTGAAAGATGAAAGTGATATTTAGCAAACAAGAAATCATTTTATTTTCTGTACAGAGCAGCTGAAATACTGTCGTGTGAGAAATCCCAATGCGAGTTCATGATACTTATGCATGTACCATATAAACGTCTACATTAGGCTGATGGTCTATTAAGTCCATGTAACAGTGTTAATTATTACAGCTCTGGAAAACACTGATTGCTGATCTGTACTCACCAATACAGTCCAAAATCCACCCCACTGATCCATCGCCTCCATTGCACTTGAGCATTTGCACAGTGAAGCAGGACAGAGGCTGAAGAAGATATCACCCTCTGCTGGTCAGGAGCATATACTGCAGCACATGGGTGACTGGGGAACATATCCTGCATATAGACACATGTGGGATCTGCTATAGCACTGAGTGTCACACGCAAGCAAAGCAGTCACACAAGTGTGTGAAAAATTTATACTGTGTAACCTCTTTTGATAGGCTCTGACACTGCAGCATGTTTTATGTATACAGGACAAGAGCAAAAGAGGAGAGTAAATGTGCCACTACGTTTACCATGAAAACAGTCAATCAAGCAGTTCTCAGTTTTTCATACCTTCTCAGGTTTATTGCTGTAGTGCTATGAAAATTCTCTATGAAAAACTATATCGACAACAACAACATCCTCGACTTATGCATGTACCATATAAACGTCTACATTAGGCTGATGGTCTATTAAGTCCATGTAACAGTGTTAATTATTACAGCTCTGGAAAACACTGATTGCTGATCTGTACTCACCAATACAGTCCAAAATCCACCCCACTGATCCATCGCCTCCACAGGCCAGCACGCGGAAATTGGGCACGTCTCGAAAAAAGTTGAGCCTGGGAGACATAAAAACAATGAGATGGTGCCTTTCATATATTTGCATGAAAGCTTTCCTTGGTCCTATAATTAAAGTGATCCTGTGGAGTGACAACACTGCAGCAAAGCAAACCTACCCAACAATCTACAGCATTCACACTATTCCCCAGTGGCAATGCACAGTTTACTATTCAGTGCTTTATGGTTGATCTGAAGGATGTTACAGAAGCTTTGTGTTGTTTTTATTCAGTGTCATGGGAGAAAAACTCTGGAAGTCAACCCATTGAGACGCCAAAACATCTAAACTGAAGCCTTTTTGGCACATTGTTTCTACACTTTTGACTGTTACCAAGTTTGAGTCCCGAAACTTTGTTCACTTTTTATTTGTTTGTGAACTGGCCTACCTCGACATGGATGTCCACTGAAGTTCAATAGCTGAGTAACACAAGTGGAACATGGCTGTGTGGTTCTGGACAGGCTTGAGCTGGAATCATGTTTCAGTCTGACTAAATGAGCTCTGTTCCAGATAAATTTGTAATGTACCAGTGCCGGTCTGTTTGAAATGGCAACGTAGGCTGCTGTTGTAGAGATGCGATTTGCGTAAACAATTCCTTCTCCAATGACATGGGCAACAGAGAACAGATACTTGAGCAATCTATGTGTTTTTCCATATAAAGCTGTAAGAGTGGCCTCTTCTGCGCAGACACTTAGCAAAAGAGCACACTTGTCTATTTTCATCTCTCCATCTTTGGTCAATCATCAGTTCAGAAATTTTTAAATGAAATGACCAGGAGATTGAAAAAAAAGAAAGATCAGATGAGAATATAACCCAATTAAAGTGGTTTGTTCTCAGATAATCCATCTGCAGCGTTAATAGTGAAGCTGTACTGATGATACACAGCATTATATTTACATTTATTCATTTAGCAGATGCTTAGATCCATCCAGAGCGACACAATCAATTGATTCTATAATCATTTACTCGCCTTCATGTAGATTCAAACCTATGAGATTCTTCTGTGGAACACATACAATCCATACAATCGAAGTCAATAATCACCAAAACTTTCTGATTACCAACATTCTTCAAAATATCTTCCTTTGTGTTCAACAAAGGGAATAAAGTCTGAGAGCTTTAGAATGACATGAAAGTGAATAAATGACATCATTTACATTTTTAGGCAAATAAACCAGAATATTAGAAAGCCAAAACAGCAGTGTAAGAGCAGTATAGAAAAATAAGTAGATTTATGTTCAAATAAAGTGAATTCAAAAATCTAAATCAAACAGCGGTAAGGAATACAATTTAAACAGTACTGTTTATTTGCTTTTTATTAAATAGTACTGTTCAAAACTTTGGGGTCAGTAGGACTTTGTAATGCTTATGTCTCTTATGCTCACCCATGCTGCATTTATTTGATCAAAAAATACAGCAAAACAGTAATATTGTGATTATTACAATTTATAATAACTTCTTTTGTATTATTTTGAAATGTAATTTATTTTGTAATGGCAAAGCTGAATTTTCAGCAGTCAGATGTGCTGCTTAATCCCCCCAGGATTCATTTACAAATTGAATGTTCAAAAGAACTGCGTTTTTTTAAAACAGAAATCCTTTGTAACATTGTAAATGCCTTTACTGTCCCATTTGACCAATTTCATGTATCCTAAACCAAATTTCTTAATTAAAAAAATCTTACTGACCCTTAACTTTTGATCAGTAGTGTATTTATTTAGTTGCTTTTCCCCTCTAATATAAATGTATAATGTTTGACTGAATTTTGGTTGCTTTTTCTTTCAGAATAATTCTCTGTATTAATGAAGAGCTGTTACCACAAGCAATGGCACAGTCATTAACAGGACACATTAAAAACATCACATCTAAAAAGGCTGCCCTTGATCTACATGCTTATAAATTATCGAAGTGCTTAAGAAAGAACATTTAATATATGTCCAAATTGTTCTCCATGAGTGAAATCAGCAATGTCACACAATCTCTCTCTCTCTCTCTCTCTGAGTGGTCTCTTCAGGATGAGCAGTGCTCCAGTCGTGACTACAGAACACTGTGTGGTGGGAGGGGGATCTGGGACGGAAGGTTAGCCTGCTTTCCTGCGAAACGACCATTGCTTAGCATTTGTTCTGTACTTCTCTCTCTCTCTCTCTCTCTCTCTTCTTTTTCCTGAATGAGAATCACTGTTGCACAACCGCAGGATGCTGAACAGAATGTACTCATGCGTTTTGAGTGGGTTTGTAGAATGTGTAACTGCATAATAGTAGTACACTAAAGTGGAAGTGAGAGCTCATAGCAAATAAAAAACACAAATGAAATCTCTCCAATATCTAAAACTGTTAGATAAATGTATTCTGCTTCTCAGATCTTTCTCTTGAGAAATAAGCCCAGAAAAGATCTTAATGTCTTAAACTGTGCTCAGATTTGCCAACTTTAATATGAACGTAAAATTCATGATGGAAAAAAACCTTAAACCAGCCTACTGTAAACTGGTTTATGCTGGTCTTTCGGTCAAGCCAAGCTAGTTTTAACTGCATGACCAGCTAGTGGCAGCCTAAAGCTAGCCAAAACCTCCCTAAACCAGCTAACGGACCAATCTGACCATGCTGGGAGAACAATTTAGACCAGCAAATCAACTTAGACTGGTTTAAGATGTTAAGATGATTTCTCATCAAGTTCTTCCGAGGTCAAATGATCTAATCTGTGCCATCCTAAATATACTGCTCTATATCAATGTTGTTATTATTAACTAAAACTATTTCTGTGCTACTCATCCGCTGTATGGACAAACTACTGCAAAAAATGCTTTGTTAATCAAAATAAAATCAAATATAAAAATTTGATGAAAAACACATGAAAAATAGGAATATAGCCTTGACAACTGAAATGAGTTTAAGTTCAAAAGCACTAAAATTACTAAAAAGGAAAATAAAAAGATTAAATCTAAATAGAAATAAAAAAAACTAAAAATAATACAATTATAAAAATTTAAAGTCATTTCAAAGTATAAATAGTGTAGTAGTATAAAATAATACTAACACTGTTCTTCTTAACATATTGCCTACAATGGTCTCATTTGCATTTATTTCTATTAAAACATTTGAATTCAAATCTCTGATACTATGTATGGAGTATATGCCAATTTGGCGCTCATAAAATAATATGTAAATATGATCCTCTTACAGTGACATTGTCAGATTTCACTGATATGCTACTGTTGAAACTGATTTGGATGACCTTGAGTTGGTCTATTGTTAAAGACAGGTGGGGTGCATGGGTTAAGAGGCTTTAGTAAAATGTAGTCGCTTATAGAGGAAGCCTCGTCGTGACTGACAGGCTCAGAAGAACATTCAGCGCTTGAATTAATACATTTACTCAGCAGGGGGCTGCTTGAGTCATAGTAAATGTCTTGTAGGTCTCTCAAAGTCAGCTCCATTTTGCAAGTGGTTCCTCTCGCAGACTAGTTGATTGCAGGTTGGCTCACTTTATTGCAGGTTTGTAGAAGCAAAAAAATAAGAGAGAGAGGGAGCCATGCCAGAACAAAACAACAGTGAGAATGTCAAACTGTTTTTGAGCAATTCCCTGTCATGACTCAAAAAATGTTTTATGCGCACACATCTCCCTTGAAATTTGATGGTGGTTTTTAATAGTCTTACCCCGCCATGGGTCCTCCTCGATCCAGACTGTACACCTGTCTGGGGTTAAGCAGGTACTGGAATTTCCGCAGCACCCTGATGAAGACAGATGAGAACAGAAAAGCATTAAAAGACACATAGAGGAATGACATTTTTAAACGTAATCACTGTGAACTTCACAATATGATAAAAGGCTTAAAGGGATAATTCAACCAAAATTAACAATTCTGCAATCATTTACCAACCCTCTTGTCATTCCAAGCCCAAATGACTTTCCTTCTTTCATTGAACACAAAGGTTTAATTTCTGAAGAATATCCTGGTCAATCTGTACAAAATTATTAAATACGGAGGTGACAATCAAAGAAAAAAAAAAAAACACTATAAAATATCATATATGTTATTATGGATAGAAAATCTTGACATGCATCCTATCTCTTCTTGGTACCTTCATAAGAGATCATGAGAGAAGTGCGATGCGATGCCCACCCCAATTAATCAAAGAAATAATCAACAGATTGTTCATCGCAGCTCTAATGTTGGAAATGAGTAAATGATGACAGAATGTTCTATTTTGGTTGAACTGTTCCTTGAAAAGACAGATAGACAAACATATGGAGGAATGATATTCTTAAAACGTCATCATTCCTTTATCATAAAAGGCCACACAAACCTCGGAATCAATGAAATTAAGCAAGACAGAAACACACATACACAGGTTGCACACTGTCGCAGCAGTGCCCCTCAATAACCTTGAAGCAATAAAATGATTATTGAGGACTGCAATGTCCTTCACTTCTAACTCTGTTAGCTACTCTGCCCCTTTAGTATGCAAAGACACAGAGAGAGGAAGAGAAATAAGAGCGAGAGAGAAATAAGAGCGAGAGAGAAATAAGACGGGCTGTTAGTTTGAGGTGCGTCACAAGCTATGCTTTTATGTGGGGGTGATTATTTGAGCACTTATCAACACTGAAGAATTCATTCATTCCCTAAGCGAAGAACAAAAGAACGCAGTCAAGTGTCAAGCCCGACCAATGAGCTTTCAGTACGCTGCTCAGAGTGAATATGGTGGAAAAATACACTCGGTACAGTATGATTCAACGGTGACCACTCTGTTCCTTTGTTTGCATCAAAGAACCACCAAAATGGCCTTTCTTTTTTGGGGCCAGGGCAGTTATCGCGTCTTTGTTTGAGCACATGTCTAATAATGGAGGATAATCGGCCAATTAATGGTATTTTAAACTGTGTTGCTATGGTGATGCCAGCACAAAATCCTAAAACCGGTCTCCCGGAGGACATTGGGTGGGTGGTGAGAGCTGAAACAACACCCACATTCTTCCTCCTTTAACAGCATTACTGTCTCCTGCTAGCTTTGATGGTATTTAGGACACTGCCAGTAAGCAAGAAAAAGAGTGGGACTTTTGTTTAACATGTCTATGCAGATTCGACTGACTTCAGATGGTTTGACAAACCTCCTCATTGGAACCATTACAGCAGTACAAGGTCGGAGAATATGAAAAATGATGCAACAGTTTGAGCTTCAAACGTTTACCTCTCTCCCTGCTGACCGCCACTTTTAGGATTAACCAGCACGAGGAGGGGGTGCGTCCCAGGCAGAGGCGTGATCTTAAAAAGCAGAAAGGGAGAAAAAGTTACAAACACACATGCAGTACATGTGCTGCACAGATTTGCATTCCCAGAGTGTGTCTGCTGAGGACTCACCTGCAGTGCCTGACCGTCACCGGTGACCTTGAAACACTGGCCGGTGTCCTCAGGGCTGTTACTGGGGGATGATTCTCCTTCACCTCTTTTGACGGCAGAATGACGGTCCTACAGATATAGAGACATTACAGTGAACATCAACAAACAGAGACGGAGTGAGACAGATGTGCATCTGAGATAAGAATGACAAGAAAAATGCAATTTCAGAATCTGTCTCATTTTATTATATTTCTCTTTAACTTAGAAAGAATTGATGTTTTAGCATTTCTACAGGTCGTTTTACAAGGTCGTTAGACTAGACATGTTCGCAAGTCTCAATCATAGAGCCCATGTCAAAGTTCTTTATATACATACAGAAATTAAAACTTTTATTCAGCAAGGATGCATTAAACTGACCAAAAGTGACAGTGAACACTATAAAAAATGCTGGGTTGTTTTAACCCAACGTTGGGTTAAAACAACCCAGCATTTTTTAGAGTGAAGACATTTACAATGTTATTAAAAAAATCTATTTCAAGTACATTTTCAAATTCTACTTCTATTTGAAAATCTACTTCAGAATTACTGCTGTTAATTATAACTTTCTATTCATCAAGTAATCCTAAAAAAAAGTATCATGGAAATTATTTGGTGAAGTCATTTGTAACTGTAATGGAACTACTTCATAGCTGTGCATTTCCTGGACAACAACTGCACACCTTTCATCAACCAATCAGAATCACACATTCAATAGCCCAATTGTTTTTATTTTTTACAGTATCCAGTAAATGCAGTCTTTGCGAACATAATAGACTTTTTTCAAAAACAAAATAATCTTACTGACTCCAGTTCAAACTTGTTTGTGAATTTCCTTGATTATTATGAAAATACAGTATACAGTGGGTACGGAAAGTATTCAGACCCCCTTAAATTTTTCACTCTTTGTTATATTGCAGCCATTTGCTAAAATCATTTAAGTTAATTTTTTTTTCCTCATTGTTTTGTATGTGTCAACATTCTCATCTTCGTGTGTTTTCCTGGTTCCCTTGAAGTCATTAAAATATCCTTATTGATGTACTCCTCGTTTCCTCGTTCCTCGCTCCGTGCTACTCCACAGTAGCCGGTTCGTGACAGAATACCAGACCAGGACAGTAAGCGGCGCCCCTTCTCCCCGTGTTTGTTTTTCATTTTTAAAGTCTTTTGTTTTCCTGTGTGTTTCTCCCCGTGGCATGGAAGTAGCCGCTCGTTTTATCGCCTTCGTGGAGTATGCGAGGGAGTTCAGCAAGATCGCCGCAAAAACAGCGCTGGACGACGCCACGCTCAACTCTCTGTTCTGGATCGGGGCCAATTGATATCTCCCCGTGGACCTCCCAGACACCACAGGACTGAGCTGGAGGGACGGGATTCTCTGGTGTCTAGAGAGCGTCCAGCCCCAGTCCAGAACCAGCCCGCCGGCTGTTCCTCAGTCAAGGCCATCCGGCCGCGACATTCTCAAGCCCGCCGGCGGTTGAGCTCGCTCCAGTGTCGGCTCCAGACCCAGAGCTCGCTCCAGTGTTGGCTCCAGCCCCCGAATCTAGCCCACGGAGGGCTCCTGTTTCCAAGTTCAGCCAGTCCATAGTGGCCGGGCTGAGTGGCGAGGCCAAGGCCACGGAGGCCATCCAGCCATGACCTTCTGAGTTCCCTGCTCCGCTGTGGCCTACTGAACTGTCTGCTCCGCCGTGGCCTCCTAGTCTGCCTGCGGCTCCTGTTCCCGAGTTTAGCCCACGGAGGGCTCCTGTTCCCCAGTTTAGCCCACGGAGGGCTCCTGTTCCCCAGTTTAGCCCAGAGAGGGCTCCTGTTCCCGAGTTTAGCCCAGAGAAGGCTCCAG